ATGAAGGAATGTCGGGGTTGCTGTTGGCCTGCTGGCTGTAACCACTTGGCCCTACAGCCCTGTGTAGCTGTATATGTGAGTGTGTGAAAGATCCCACCAAATTTAAAAGAAAACAACACTCCTTTGCTTCTGCCTCTGCTGCAGTTTACATTTGTTGGATCCGTTACTGAATTAGGCTCGGTTCCTTCTGATCCACCCCTGAGAGAGGACAAATCTCTGAGAGGGAAACGGGGGCCATCGGAGAGGAAGATGCTAAGTTGAGGTGAAGTACCTAGTTCAGGAAGGAAGGGTGAGCCTAGATAATGGCACTCCGGCTGCCTCAACCTCTCAGCTGTCTTCCTAAAGCATATGAGAGTGGGAAAGAGTTATGAATTTCTGAGAGAATGCAGAGAATCACAAGCTTTCCGTAGGGCCCTTGTGTCAAGAACACTCGTACTGAAGGTAGAGGAGGCAAAAGAGGAGGGGTAAGGCAACAGCTCCCACAGATATCTGTGTGTGCATCCATCACTGCTGCAACACTTGTATTGTTGCTTTTGAGGATAAGTGTTCCCAACAGAAACCAAGCTTAAAGCATCATCACTAGACCCATTAAGAATATTTGGGAAATATTTTATCTCAAAAGCTTGCACGAAGACTTCTATGCTTTTTTACTTGGAGTAATAAAGGTATCACCCCAGCATGGGATCTTTGGAATTTGTCTTAGAGCCATTGTAGCTACTCCCCCTTCCTCCCCCCCCCAAACTGGAAGATGTTTGGTGATATGTGCAGAGGTGGCAAAGCTCAACCATGGCCTCTGTAATGTTAGCTACGTATTAGACCTGAATTATTCAGCTCATCTGGTATCAGTGCTTTTGAGTGGCATAGTGTGCGTCTCTAAGCCAAAATGCACATGCAGGGAGCTACAGTGATTCATATCTTGATGAGGAAGTCGCCCATCTGCTCTTTCCGATAAGTGTCCAAACACGCCTCGCCAATGTGTGGGAAGACAGCAATATTTGGGGGAGGGGGAGGGGAACAGATTTTGCACATCGAAGTCTGATGCTGGCCAATTAGATGGGAAAACCAATATGCTGTTCAGTGAAAAATGCAGCCAGGGGTGGTTTTGTTTGACGGTTGTGGGTTTTAAGCGGGTGGTAGCATAGAATCATGGACATGATGGTATTGGGATTCTGGGCCATCTCATCCAGTCATCTGCCCCATGCAGAGCTAGTATAACCCCAGCTGATGATTTGTTCAGCCACTGCTTGAATATCTCCAAGGGAGAGCATGCTCAACTCCATACCCATCTAGGCAAGGGATTCTATGGTACCATTTACCTTACTGTTAAGACATTTTTCCCAACACGTCTACTCTCCCTGCCTACCCACTCATCCGCTTGTGACTGAAGTTTCTTAGATCTAGTTCTGCCCTTTGAGATGGCAAAAAATCGAGTACTTGCCCGTCTTTTCCTGTGGTCAATGGAAACAGTGCTGGTTGTCTCCATAAAGACCATGTGGCTGGTAGTAGTCACTGTAGCACAAGCTGGCTGAACATGCCATGAACAGCTTTTAACAGCATCATTTAACTGTTCCATGAGGCAAAAGGTTGAATCTTCTGTTTCAAGTTTATACATGTAGCCCTGTTAGACAGAGGCAAATTTGACTCATATTGATGATTATGCAGAAATAATCCTAGGAGGAGGTGATAAATTAAGATCAGAAAGGTATAATTTTGTGAACGTTGTGGTGGCCAGCGTGCAGAATGCTGGGCTTTCTGGAATGGGGTGACCTGAAGCAGAGAGAGAAAGTATCTGGCTTTTGTCTCCGATCTGTTGGTCAGTGAGCAAATATAGGTGTATGTGTGTCACATGTGCTGCCACACATTGGCACAGCCAACAGACAGGCGGATTTTTATCCTGAGAGATGGCTAGGCTGATGAAGACTGAAGTCAGGGAGCAGGGACAACGAATGGAATCGATCTAAGTGTCAGAGTTGCTTTAGCCCAGCATCAATCTGGGGCATCAAAAAGGCACCAAAATGGCGGTGGACAGCAGGCAGTAGATTCGCAGGCCTTTTCCCTGTGGAAAGAAAGAACTCAAGCTTCTTGCTCGGTCTCAGTCTTTGTCATGACATTTCCCCCACACGGCCCAATCTTAAAATGTGCTGTTGAGTCACATAAAGTGGGCATAGGAGGGGCTGAGGGGTGGGACTCAAGATTTAAAAGCCAGGGCCATGATCAGGGCCAGAGGAGTTCACCCAGGAGTGGCAAGCTAGAACAAGAGACTTGCTAGGAGCCCATTCGCTTTTCACGATGGCTACAACTTTAGAAGAAGGCTCCTAGGTGCTAAAAATCTCGTTCAATTCCTGTTTTTGATCTTCCTTTTTGAAGCCAGTTTCTTGGGGTGGAATGAAGGATGGGTGACTGGTTGTCTTGCTTCCTGCTGTTTTGCTAATTTCATGGCTGAGCGGCTTTCAGACTTCCTACAGGGAAAGACCCCCAAATTTATGTCACCTTCTTGATGAGATTAGATCTATCTTGAGCTTGGGAAGGAGAACAGTGACTATAGGTTAAAGGGGAAGGAAGTGTGTCTAGAGCCTAAGAGTCCGTTCTATAAGAGAGCAGAACCGACGAGGCATCCCCTCTGATTCCCTCTGCAGAAGCAGCAGAGAAGGATATGGATTCCAAAGTGCTCCCTCGACCCCAAAGAGTAGTTATGTTAAGCTCTTGCAGCAACAACAGTTCTATGGCATGGTGGTTGTGGGTGTTTCAAGAAGTTTGGCCGTGTTCAGGAGGTTTTTCTTCCTAATGTTTCGCCAGTTTCTGTGGCCAGCATCTGGTGGACTGGTGAAATGTTAGGAAGAAAAAACCTCCAGAACTTGGCCAAACAGCCCGAAAAACCTACAACCACCATTGGATCCTGGCTGTGAAAGCCTTCGGGAACACAGGCGTGTGGCATCTTAAAGACAAGTAAATTTATTATAGATAAGCCTTTAGAGAATCATAGAGTTGGAAGAGACCATAGGGGCCATCGAGTCCAACCCCCTGCTATGCACGAATTCCATCAAAGCACTCCCGACAGATGGCCATCCAGCCTCTGCTTAAAAACCTCCAAAGAAGGAGACTCCACCACACTCCGAGGCAGCATATTCGACTGCCGACCAGCTCTGACTGTCAGGAACATCTTCCTGAGATTCAGGTGGAATCTGTTTTCCTGTAGTTTGAAATCATTGCTCCTTGTCCTAGTGTCTGGAGCCGTGGAAAACAAATGTGTCCCTTCCTCGAAATGACATCTCTTCAACTATTTAAATATGTCCCCTCTTAACCTTCTTTTTATAAGGCTAAACATTCCCAGCTCCCTAAGCCTCTCCTCATAGGACTTGGCTTCCAGACCTTTGATCATTTTGGTCACCCTCCTCTGGACATCTTCCAGGTTGTCAACATCCTTCTTGAATTGAGGTGCCCAGAACTGGACACAATACTTCAGGTGAGGTCTGACCAAAGCAGAATAGAGACATCGGTAAGAAAAAAAATCACTCCATGTTCAAGTGAAGTTGAAGTGTGTTTTGTGAAAAAGGATGAAAAGGTTTGCAGTGCAGTTCCCTCCCCTACATGTGTTCAGACCGAAAGTCCTATTTCTTGCCATCCCTCTCAGTTGGCTTATTTACACTGACAGATAAGAGGATCTGATTGGCTGTGTGGCATTGTGATGACATTGCATTTTCTACCTGATCCCTGATTAGCTAGGAAGGGGAGGCATAACAGAAAGAGAGGAGAAGCAATGTTTCTCAACTGTTTTTTTATTAACTCCCCTCCCAGCAGCTTGCAATAATAAATCTTTAACAAACAATTCCATATATAAAATGTGTAACAATAAAACTAATTATTTCAGTTCAGCACCTTGGAAAGGGAGATTCTTCAAAATCTACCTAAGTACTTTCAAAAGTATGTTGGAATAAATCCATTCGTTTATGTACTCCCTTAACATTTTCAGGGAAGTAGAACTTCCTAAACAAGCTGGTTCCAGGAAAAGAGAGCCCCCACTAGAGTGTTCCTCTTCTTTGTCTGCCAAGCAGGTTTTGTTTTTTGTTTTTTGGTGCTGTGGGAAGAAACATGAATCAGGACATTGTCTGAAGGTGTTGGGTCCATAAAAGAGGAGACAGTCTTTGAACCCTGTTTCTCATTGGGGTGCTCACATTCTGTGTGAGCTGAAATCCTATGAACTGTGACAGATGTACATGATTGAATACTCCTCACACCTACAGAAGTAGCTGTCAGGAATATGGCCTCCAGCTCAGTTCTCTCCCTTGCATGCTGCTGTTCTGTGTGTAGGCAACTCTTACAAGTGAAGGATCACAAACACACACACACACACCGTAGCCTCTGAAGTGGTAGAGCCTAGATGCAGATTTGGCATCTGAGTTAGAAGTGAATCTGAGACTTTCATGAAACTTGGTGTGGCATTCACCCTTGGGTCCCTTGCTTGACTGTCCAGACACAGAGCACACGAAGGCAAACTCCTCCTCCTTTTTAGCCCGCTGCCACCAGTTGATCACTAAATCAACTAATTCAGGTCCATACTTCAAAGTCTTTCAAATATAACTTTTGTTTATTGATTACAGAAATTGATAGTGATTCATGAATATCTTCTTTAGGTAAATTTATTATTAGCAACAATCTTCTATTTGATAATACACTCCTAATTTTAATCACACCTCAGAATTCCCCAAACTCCACACTCTTACCTACTTCTCTCTCCTCAAACTCTCTCTGACTGGCTCTCACTGGCTCCACCTCTTATAGCATCTCTCCTGGCTCCGCCCCTCAGCAACATGAATATGACATAACAATGACATAACAAAACATGAACCATTGACATCATAAAGGGGAATGCTACACTTGGGCCCCCTTATTGAAGAAAGGCAGCCTATAAATAAAATGAATTTTTAAAAAATGAAACTTCAGTTGTGTGATGTGCCCTCTCCCTTTCTCTCTCCTTCGTTCCCACCCCTTCGCTCGGACAGATGTTTCAGGGGCCCATGGGCAGGTCGACAGGAGCAGCCTGAGTAGCGTCTTGCGAGACCTGGTGAAGCCAGGAGATGAAAACCTGCGCGAGATGAACAAGAAGCTACAGAACATGCTGGAGGAGCAGCTCACAAAAAACATGCACTTACAAAAGGTTTGTGGGGAGAACCTGGAGAACAGGCCTTTTCCCCAAAAGTGAGTGAGAGGTATAGTCCTGGGGAGAAGGAAGGAAGGAGAGCTGTCTAGTTTTAGAAAAGCCACCAAACTAGAGAGATAATTGATACACAGCCCTGACCTTCTTTCTAGTAATGGACTGAAAGTGGCCACTTGTGTCAGAGCTGGGGAAGCTTTGGCCCTCCAAATGTTTTGGACACTTCCTTACAATTGACCATGCTCCTTGGGGACTCTTGGGACCTGACCGCCAAAACATTCCCGATTTACAAAGTAGACACTAATTGTGAGAAAAAGAAGATACTGATTGCCCTGCCAACTCTCTGTTGGTCAAACCCACAGCAGCAACTTTGAGCAGCAGACCGAGAACAACTGATGTCAGAAGATGTGCTGGATTAAGGCTAAAGATGGGAAGTGTTACATTTTTCCACCTTCCTGCTACAGGTCTCAGAATGCCCCAAAGGAGATAACTACTGCCCAGGTTGAGTGGAGGATTATGGGAGCTGTGGTTCAAGGAGCTTCCTGATTAAGCCTGTGGAGAGGGAGACTTAACAGGCAACTGTAGGATGTGAGTTCAGTGAGGAGATGCCTGTTGCATCTTTATAGGCACTTGGAGTTGCAGACAGTGGCCATTGGGAACTTAGGGGGAGCTGCCCCAGTCTTTCCCATCCTGAACCTGGGAAAAGGCTGCTAAAAGGAAGGTAAGCAGGAGTGGGGAAAGAAGTCCCAGGGAAGTTGCCACCACAGTAGGCAGGAAAGCCCTGTCAAAATAGGTCCTCACAGCAAGGCTTGGCTGCAGAGGATGGGTTGAGAGGGGTGTTTTTCTCCAGGAATGCCCCAACTGGGGTAAGTGAATAAGAAGCAAGTGACTCAGAGCTTGGAAAAATTAAAACAATTTTTTTGCAGGATGTAGGGAGACGATTAACTCCCTGGGTCTCCCAGTCATCATGGCCAGTATCTATTTTGGTGGTGGTGGGGTTCTGGGAGAGGTAGTCCAAAGACAGAACTTTCCCGAGCTCTACCATGGTGGACTGTTCTCGGGGGGAAAGAGGGCTGTTCTCCAAGGCACTCTTGCCACTTCCTTGGGCACGGCATGTGCGTGTAAGGGAAGTCTCTGCAGCTGCCTGTTCCCTCCCTCTCCTTGTTGTGCCTGTCGCTCTCAGCCTGCAGGTCAAGGTGACTGCTTGCTGGGGAACAGAGGCAGCGTGCAAGCCAGCTCGGCCCTGGCACCGAGCAGCAGCTGAGGGAGTAGCAGATTTCCCTCCCGCCCCTGAGCCGTGGCGACCTTGAGCAGAGAGCAGCAAATGATCCGCTGATCCTCCAGCCTTCCTCCCTGTGTTGTCACAGATGGGCAGCCAACCTAAAACTCAAGAGGAAACCTCAACACTCAGGTTGTGGAGGGCCGAGCAGCCAGACAGGATGGCCAGAGGCAGACATCCGCTCACCCGCCGCTTTGAGCGTGCCTCAGTTCTGGTTGTGACAGTGATCTTGCAGGGAGCGGCGGCGGCTTTGTGCTCACTGCCGTGGCAGACCCTGCTGGCTCCCCAAAGAGAGTCCTGCCCCACCCTTGTGCCCTTAGGCCAAGGGTTCCCAACCTTGGGTCCCCAGATATTCTTGGACTACAACTCCCAGAAATCCTGGTCAGCACAGTGAGTGGTGAAGGCTTCTGGGAGTTTTAGTCCAAGAACATCTGGGGACTGAAGGTTAGGAACCACTGACTGCCTTAGGTTGAGGAAGGATTTGACACCACAGCATTGCTGAAGATCAGCAGGTGGTGGCCTGGGTGGAAGGTGAGATCCTCTGGAACGGGAACGGGGAACCCTTTTGGACTACAGTTCTTGGCTGTTGTTATCCCTCTCTCCCCCCCCCCAATGTACGGCCATTACATCCATACAGGTGTTCCTAATCCTTATGGGGGGTTCATTTTAAATGCTTCATTCTCCCTAAGGATTGGCAAAATGCAAAGGAGCAAGGTCTGCTTTAACTTGGCATGCCTCCCTAGATCGTCCCTATTCAGTGACACTGCAGCTGTGAATAGTAGGAGCTGGGGACAAGGTTGGGAGGCTTTTCCTCGTCGTGCTCATGGAGAGGAGAGAAAGACAGACACGGAACAAGAGCTTGCCCCAGTGAAAGATTTTGCAGTCTGTTCCCCCCCCACCCCCAGTATTAGCTTGATGTAGAATCTGATCCTTCCAAATGTCCTAATGGAACAAGGAGATGAAAGAGTGATGTCAGCGGAAACAGGAGGCTATTTATAGCTGTGTCTGAATGGGGAGGGAATTGGAGAGGGGGGGGGGTTGAAAAGCCTTCTGAGGGCAGTCATCAAGGTTGGGGCTGCAAAGGATGGGTCAGTGTGGGACAAAAGAGAGCACTCTCCCAGAGATTGGAGGCATAAGGGACATTGGAGTGCTAGATGGAAGGAAAGCCTACAGCTGTGCAGGGCAGGGAGGAGGAAGGGATGGCATTGATGGGTAGATAAGGTATAGTACTGTGGTGGCCTCCAGGGGGCACTGTGGAGCTGGGAAAGGCAATTACTGTACATGTCTGAGTTTAACTGCAGGAGGCCAGATGGCGATATTGGGAGATGCCACTCAGAGCAGGTGGATGTGTAGATCAGGCTCCCCAACAGAAAATAAAATGTATCCAGCTGTGGTTATGCTCAACAGGGTGTGTAATATCTGAGGAACCTGAGGTTAATGAGCCCCACGGAGATGTGTGAAAATGGGCAAAGGTTATCAGTTGCATTCCAAAGCAGAAGGAGCCAGGCTGGCCCTGAAACAAATTCCCAAAGTGAAACTGAGATGACAACTTTTGTTAGGCCAAGAAAAGGGGATGGGTGCAAGCTTTCACGATCCCCAGATCTCTTCCTCGGACATGGTGTTGTGAAAGGAGGTGGTGGTGGTGGTGGTGGTGGTGGAAGCAGGGGGAGACTGGAGTCTAGAGCCACATGGTCAGGAATTGAGGTGAGTTTCTTTACAGTTCAAATTTACACTGGATTCGTTCTCTCTGCTGCTACCTTTCAGCAAGTGTAATTGGTCGAGATTCGTTCCTTACTTTGGAGAAGGGGATGGTTTGTTTTTCTTTCCAGATTTTTCTTTGAACTGAGGCCCGGTGATGATCAATTAGTCATTTTTAATTGGAAAATAAATGGGCGTGTGCAGATTAGGCATTGGGGTGTGGGGGTGTGCCTGTCTCACTTCTGTGGAGGGGGAGTCAATCCACACTTCTTCATCGTGGTCTTCTGTGAATGCACACAAAGGGTTAATACCAGCGCCAGCGTTGGGCCTCTCGGAACGTTTTCTAGCTGCAAGAGAAAAGTAACAATGTTTAGGACTACCCCTACTGCGCACGCCCAGCCTAACCGTCCCTCAGTTCCATTTTTCCGCCTAGCGGTTTGGAGCCTCTCGTCTTAGCTGCGTTACTGCGATATATCTGATTTTTGGCTTTTGACCTAGCTTCGCTCACGGACTACCCTAGCGCTTTTTCCCTTCAACTTGACGACTCGGTGTATTTTTCTGGCTTTTACTCGGACTGATTTCGGACTGCTCTGCCTTATCCTTGGACTTGTCGTATCGGTTTCCTTACTGCCCTATGTCCCCTTCCGGGCCGTTCAGCAGGTGTGTGGTGTGCGACCGCAAAATTCCCCATCAAGACGGCCACGATACTTGCCTGTATTGTTTGGGCGAGTCGCACAATCCCAAAGCTTGCCCACACTGCAAAGCCTTCACTAAGGCCGCTCTCAAGGCTCGCCAACAGCGCCTTAAACTTCATCTGTGGGAGTCAACGTTGTCTTCCACGGCGCCCTCTGAGGGGGAAATGGCTTCCACTTCTCGAGCAGCTCCTGTTCACTCAGTCGTCTCCAAAGTTTCCAAAATGTCGAAGAAATCCGCGTCGGCGAGATCGGCCGCTCCTGCTTCACCCGAGCCTCCGGCTCCGAAAGCTAAGCCGTCGAAATCGTCCAAAGCTAAGGCGGCCGCCCAGCTTAAAATGACATCTATTCCACTTTCTCCGAGCTCGGGTTCCATCCCATCGCCAATTCTTGAGGAGTTGTCGAGGCGCTTCGGGGCCTCGGCCGAGGCACCCGCACCTCCTCCTGCTCGACGTACTGAAGTGCTACCGCCTTCGGGAAGGTCTTCCCCGACGCCGAGCCAGTTAGTCGCCGTCACTACTGGCCTCGCTTCTGCCCCACATAGCCCTTTTCCTGCGGGCCAGGGGTCGCCTCCCGTGTCGATCTCGTCCGTACACTCGGACTCGAGATCTCCTCGAGGGAAGATACCTCGATCACCTGTGCGCTCGAGGTCTAAATCTCCTCGAGGCAAACGTTCTCGCACGGAGAAGCATGGCTCCCCGAGTCGGTCCCCGTCCTCCGGCCGCTCGAGGTCGAAGTCTCCTCGACAGAAACGATCGAAGAAGAGGCATCGAGCTTCCACTCAGTCCGACTCTAGCGATCGCTCGGACTCGAAATCCTCTAAGCGTAAACGCTCTAAGAAGAAGCACCATTCTCATCGACGTCGTACCAAGCACCGACGTCGGTCCTCTTCTTCCCGTTCGGCGGATTCCGACCGCCCTAAGCGTCGTAAGCACCATCGACGTCGACGCGGCCGTTCGCGGTCTCCTCCTTCGTCGTCGACATCCGCCTCTCGAGACCGGTACCGCAAAAAGATCCGGTACATATATGTCTCTTCTTCTTCGGAGTCGACCCGACCTCGACGCCGACGCCGGGCCATTCGAGCCAAAGACCACCCTCTTCCGGTACCGGTTGCCCCTCCACCGCAACCGGCCCCTCCCACCTCGGCACCGACCGTGGTCCCCGTTCGACCCCCGACAACGCAGGTCGACGTCGAGAAGCCCCCTCCAAGGAAGAAGAGGGACGTCTTCTCCTCTGATCCAGATGAGGTGTCCACGGAGCGGTCTTCTGACTCCGATCAGGAGCCACCCCCACCCTTACCACCGCATGATTTACCTCCGGGTGATCTGGTGCTTTCCGATACTGGCGATACTCACGCTCCTTCTCCATCTGAGGATTTTTCTTCTTACTCTCAGATGATGTCCAGGCTTGCCAAGACGCTTAAATTGGACTTGAATCTCCCTTCCCCTCCGGGAGAGGACTTGTTCTTTGGAGACATAAAACGAGACAGTACCGCTCCCCCCAGTATAGCCTTTGTGCCTGTAGTTATGGAGGCCATCAAGGAATTCTGGGCTCAGCCTGCGGCTACACCTAATGTCCCTCGTCGCACAGAACACTTCTACAAGATTCATGGGGCCGATACTCATTTTCTGCTCAAGCATCCCATTCCAAACTCACTCATTGTTGAAACAAGCTGTTCAAGGCCTTCGGCCAAGGCTCATGTTACTCCAGTCGACAAGGAGGGTAAAAAGCTGGAACTCATCGGCAGGAAAATCTACTCCCTTGTCACCTTGCTACTTCGAGTCATAAATTATCAAACTGTTTTTGGAGCTTATCACAAACAATTGTGGCTCAAACTTTTGCCTGGGTTGAAAATGATACCTGAAGACACCAGGCAAGCTTTTCTTAACTCATATGAGGAAGCTCAGACGGTATCCAAGTATGAACGTCTTTCCATCAGACATGCAGCAGAAATCTCTGCCAGAGTCCTCATGTCTGCCATCTCTATCCGGCGCCATGCTTGGCTCCGTTCTGCGGACATAATGGAGGACGTCAAATCAAAAGTTGAAAGCCTCGCCTTCGACGCTACCGGGCTGTTCAACGAAAAGACCGACTCCCATTTGGAGGACCTTCATAAGGCTAAGAGAACTGCTAAGTCTTATTCTGTTCAGTCTCAATCTAGACAGCGACGCCCTCAATGGCGTAAATCTTATGGACAGTATCAATCTTCCCAACAATACCGTCCTTACAAACACCTTCCTCAGCAGCGCTCTGGCCAGTCCTCTTCTTCTGTCCAGGGCTATCAGGGATACCGCCCTCGTCCGCCCCATCGCCGCCAACCTTTTAAGCCACCTGGCAGAAAACAAAAACAGTATCTTTGACTTTCGGCCCCCCGTTTTCACCCACTCACCACCTACCACCCGCCTTCAACCGTTTCTTCACAACTGGTCTGTCATCACAAACGACACTTGGGCTCTAAAAATTATTCAGCACGGTTACCAGCTGGAGTTTATAAGATCTCCTCCGCTGGGTTTCATTACTCATTCTCCCTTCGACTCCTCGCTAGAGGAAGAAATATCATCTCTCTTAGAAAAAGAGGCCATCTCTACAGTACCACCTCACGACGTACAATGCGGGTTTTACTCCCGCTACTTCGCCGTCTCAAAAAGCGGAGGAGGCATAAGACCCATCCTCGATCTAAGACTCCTCAATACTTACCTGCGACCCAGACGGTTTCGGATGCTTACCTTAGAGTCCATCATGCACTTGCTGAAAAAGAGCAACTGGTTCGTCCTTATAGATCTAAAGGACGCATACTTTCACGTCACTATTCACCCCGACCACCGCAGGTTCCTTCGGTTCATCTTTCAGGACACGGTCTACGAATTCCAGGCCCTGCCATTCGGTCTGTCCACAGCTCCCCGGACCTTCACCAAGGTTATGGCTCCGGTGGCGGCTTACCTTCGTCTCAGGGGCATTCACGTTTACCCTTACCTGGACGATTGGCTCGTAGTCTCCACCTCGAGAAGGCAATCCCTGAAAGACACAAGATTCATTCTGTATCTTCTTTCCAATCTCGGTCTCACTGTCAACAATCAGAAATCCCGGCTCATTCCCTCCAAGACAGTTCAATACATAGGGGTCTGCTTGGACGCTGTAAAGGGTCGAGTCTTTCTTCCCCCGGAAAGAATACACAAGATTCGACGAGCCATCAGGAAATTTTTCCCCGGTGCTCGGGTGACAGCCCACCATGCCCAGCACCTCCTCGGCCTGATGTCTTCTACGACGCCGGCGCTAGCGCACGCTCGCCTCAAACTCCGGTCGCTCCAATCTTGGTTTCTCACCCTTTTCGACCCCATGATCGACAGTCAAAGGAAACGCCTTCGTGTCACCCCGGAGCTCACCAGACAACTCCAGTGGTGGATGTACACACCCCATCTCACGGTTGGCCGGCCCTTTCGTCCACTCCGTCTCACCGTTCAAGTTACAACGGACGCCAGTCCGTCCGGCTGGGGGGCGCACTGCGGGCGCCGCACCATTCACGCCCTCTGGACGCCTCAAGAAGCCATGTTCCACATCAATTACCTGGAACTGCTGGCGGTTATCAAGGCCTTCAAGTCCTTCCTCCCTCTCCTCCGCGGCCGCGGAGTTCAGCTAGTGACGGACAACACTACCACAATGCACTATGTCAACAAGCAGGGAGGAACCCGCTCTCATTCACTCCTGTATCTCTCCATCCTCCTTTGGGAATGGTGTTACCGTCATCATATCTACCCGGTGGCCATCCATGTAGCCACGGAGGACAACACACTTGCCGACACTCTGAGCAGGCTTCACTATCAGACTCACGAATGGGAGTTGAACCCTCTGGTCTTCCAGGACCTTTGCAACCAGTGGGGGACCCCAGTGCTGGACGTGTTCGCATCCCCTCACAACGCAAAATGCTCCCGCTATGCCTCCCGGGCAGGTCTCGGTCACCACTCGCTCGGCGACGCATTCATGATTCCATGGAACCAGGGTCTCTTGTACATATTTCCACCGATTCCGTTGATACAGAGGTCCCTGATCAAACTCCAACGTTCAATGACTCCGGCCATTTTCATCGCACCCTTTTGGCCTCGCCAAGTGTGGTTTCCCACTCTAGTCAGCATGGCTGTGGACTCAGTAACCCTTCCAATGTGGCCAGACCTACTGACCCAGGAAGCAGGCAAAGTCCTTCACCCCGACCTCGACACGCTCCATCTGACGGCGTGGAGGATCGTCCAGAAATTCAGGAGGTCTTGACCAATGCCATCAAACCCTCCACGTCTCGCTTGTATGCCTCCAAATGGAACAGCTTTCTGACATTTACCCAGCAGAGGGATCTCACCTCCTCACCTGTGTCTCTTTCCACACTTCTGCAGTATCTCCGTTACCTGTTTGATTTCCACCTGTCTATCTCTACTATCAAGGTGTACCTGGCTGCGGTTGTCTTCTTTCAGCCCAGAGCTTCTCCCTCATCCCGCTTTTTCTCCCATCCTACCGTCAGGATGTTTTTGAGGGGTCTCTCTAACCTCCGACCTCCCGTTCGTCCTCCACTCCCTCAGTGGTCCCTCCATTTGGTTCTGCATGCCCTATCCAGACCCCCATTTGAACCTATGGCTACCTGTGACCTCAAAATGCTCTCTTTAAAAACGCTATTCCTAGTGGCTATCACCTCTGCTCGTCGAGCTAGCGAGTTGGCAGCTCTCCGCCATGACCAACCTTTTCTTCAGTTCTTTAAGGACAAGGTTATGCTTTACCTGGACGTCTCCTTTCTTCCTAAGGTGGTCTCCGACTTCCACGTCAATCAGCCACTTATTCTCCCAACTTTGTTTCCGTCTCCGACGTCTGATGTTGAACGCATGCTCCACATGCTCGATGTTCGACGGTCCTTAGCTTTTTACGTATCCAGGACCAAAGACTTTCGCCTGGCCAACAGACTCTTCCTTTGCCACTTTGGCCCTAAGAAGGGTTGCCCGGCCTCGCCGTCCACGCTCTCTCGGTGGCTCGTGTCTACCATCGCCCTTGCCTACGAGCTCAACCACAGAGATCCTCCACAGGGACTTAAAGCCCATTCCACCCGGGCTGTTGCCTCCTCCACTGCCTTACTTCGTGGCGTCGACCTGCCCGACATCTGCCGGTCCGCTACGTGGTCTAATGCCTCTACCTTCATAACCCACTACAGATTGGACGTGAGGGCAAAAGAGGAGACCAAATTCGGGAGGGCAGTGCTAGCATCGGCTCTTCAGTGACAGCCCACCATCCGGTTAGTAAGCGTGCTAATCACCCTTTGTGTGCATTCACAGAAGACCACGATGAAGAAAGAAAGATTACTTACCTGTAACGATGGTTCTTCAAGTGGTCATTCTGTGAATTCACACAATTCCGCCCGGCCTCCCCTCTGTCTGTCTGTCACTGGCATCTCTATGACTCGAGGGCCTATGGCGGACAAATGGAACTGAGGGACGGTTAGGCTGGGCGTGCGCAGTAGGGGTAGTCCTAAACATTGTTACTTTTCTCTTGCAGCTAGAAAACGTTCCGAGAGGCCCAACGCTGGCGCTGGTATTAACCCTTTGTGTGAATTCACAGAATGACCACTTGAAGAACCATCGTTACAGGTAAGTAACCTTTCTTTTTCACTGCATCAATGAGATTTCCAATCAGGGGCAAAAGCATGAATTTTTCCTCCTGCCCCAAACTCTCATTTCTGCCTGAGCCTTCCGGTTCCCTCCATGCATTGCCTGTGGTGGCTCTCATTTTTATGGTTACCAACTTTTGTTTCAAAAGATCCTGGAAAGAGCCATCATGGGGCCCAGACAATATGGACAGAGGCAACGGAGAGGCCCTTGTTGGGCCAAGAGCAGAGTGACCTGTAAGAGGGGTCTTTCAAGGCAGCTGTTGCCAGCGCCCTTCAGCCAGAAGGGCAAAAGGGCCCCGGACGGCTGGGGGATTCAGGGAACTGCCATCCCCCAGAAGTCACGTTTGCAAGCTCGGTCAGTGTGCAGCTGGGTTGGGATTGAGGGGATCCTGGCAAGATGTGTCCTCTGTCATGTTACAGGGGAACACTGTTATCCTGAGCAGAAGCAGACGGTGAGCCCTGTGTGGTGTTGAGCAGTCTCTTCCTTTTTGTAACCTATGCCTTCTCTCCTCATTTTGGCTTTCTTGTCCTACCTGTGTCCTTTTCCTTCCTCCCTCTCCCCCCCCCACCGCCCCTGCCCCCACTCTCCAGGATTTGGAAGTTCTCTCCCAGGAGATTGTCCGTCTCAGCAAAGAGTGTGTCACGTCCCCGGACGCCGACCCTGCCTTGGGTGATGTCGCCTGAGTGACGTCCCGTCCGACGACACCCGTCCCTTCTGACGTGCCCTCAGCTGCATCGGGGGATGGGGTGGGGGTGCCAAGAGGATTGTGGCTTCTGCCTCCACCCTGGCCCACTACGGAATCACTTCTCTCCATCTAGCTTTGTTTTCAAAGGGAGTTTAAGCCTCCCCAATCTTTCTCCTTTCATAACGCAACAAACGGTTTCTCCTTAAACCACCTTCCTCAGACGGCTGCCTAACAACTCCTCCCACCGGAACAGATTTGGTTTTTTCCCAAGGCACCTGCATGCTGATTGTGCCCTACCTGTTTCCAGAGATGGATCTTGTCACTGGTTGTTTAAGAAGTGCTACCTTTGGGTGGACCTGAAGGCAAATCACATTTTGGTTCTGTAAGCCAGCACAAAGTGCTGTGTTTCCATCTGGAGATTGTTGGGCCACAACTCCCATAATACCTCAGCAATGCCTTATGCTCATTTGGCTCGATGGGAGCTGCTGTTCAACAAATACGGGGCAGCCACGTGCTCTCCAGCCTAATCCCTTCTTCCTGCATTCCATCCTAGGAGGTACATCTGTGGTCCTATAACTTCTTCCTTCTGATTCATTCTTAATTACTCACCTACCTCCACCTCCTGTTCTTCCATACTTCTCCCTTTGCATGCGTGTCAGTCCTGAATCTATCTGTCCCAGCTGTATCCAGCTGTTGCTGCTGTTAATAAAAAATGAAATATTATAGATCAGTCAGACCCAACCTTCGGTAGCCCAGGAGTTCTACGATTGCAATCCCCAGAAGCCTTCACCACCAGCTGTGCTGGCTGGGGCTTCTGGAAGTTACAACCCAAGAACACCTGGGTTACCCAAGGCTGGGAACCACTGTTATAGATAAATAAATATAAATATATATATATATATTTGCGCTGATCCCCTCCTTCTGGGCAGGACTGAACCCGAGTGGAGCAAATCTTTGTCTGTACAGAAGGGAAACTCCAGAGCTCATGCAAGGTTCCAACTGCACTTTCTGTTGATGGGGGGGGGGTAGCGTACGTTGTTTATTTAATGTATCAATGACTTGTACAAGGCTGTAATTGTTGAGCAAATGATAACGCAAATAATGATTTTTGACTGGCTCTCTCTCTCTCTCTCTGTTTCTATGTCCTTGCTTTGAGAAAGTGGGGTAAAATGTCCCCTTTTGAAGGCTGTGCTCTTGTCTCCATAGTGCCAAATCCATGGCAAGGAGGAGCCTGCTGTGCAAAGGCAGGATACATGCACACAACAGCTCCTGTATTGTTCGGAGTCCTAAGGTCCTTCCTTCACCCATTCTTCTTTCTGCTGTGTTTTGATATGAGCTTGGAAAAATAATTTTTAAAAAAAATTAAGGACAGCTTCCCAAATCCCCAGCTTCGATGGCTACTGACCCTACCTGCTAGGGAATTCTTAGAGTTGCTGTCTAATAATGCCACTTTTCCAAGCTCTGACACAAGTGATTCTTCACCATCCATCATCCCATATATTGCTTTTTTGCACTGCCAAAGATTCATACCTCCAGGTTAAGAAGATGCAAGAGGTGGTGGTATTTAGAAGGATGAGTCCAGACTGCCCCAAAGAGTATTATAAGACTCACACAGCTCAGATGACTTGGATGTTCACATCTCCTTTTGTACTCCTTGTCCAGACCAGGTTCTTCTTCATGGACTTCTTTGAATCGCACCTTGGGTGATTAGTGCCTGCGTGGAGCCTCATCGGAAGATTCTAGAGCTTCTGCATTAGCAATAAACACATTAGAATAGGCCCCTCCCCACCTGTATAAGTACCTTGGTGCCAAACGTCCCCTTTCAGTTTCTATCAACTACTGCATTGAGAGCCTCATAATTCTGCTTCTGTGAGTAAACGAGAAAGAGAGTTTATTCTTGATTCCTTCCTGTTATCAATTGGTTTCTTTTAAACTATTAAACTCTTTATCATCAGAGATTTTTATTTTTCCTTTGCTTGGCCTCCAGCCGTAGCACCCCCCCTCCAATCATCGGTTTTTCCTCCTCACTTATTTTCTCCTATTCATGGCCCCTTTGGGCCCGTTTAAGCACTGTGTTGTCTCTGACAAAAAGATCCCACTTTTCAACGGACACGCTAAGTGCCTTTTCTGCTTGGGAGAACAGCATCAAACTTCCTCTTGTACCCATTGCAAAAATTTTAAGCGCAGAGTTCTTCGATCTCTCGAGGCTAAAATTCCAACTTTGGGAAGAATCCTTACAACCAGTTCAAATGGCCCAAATTCCTTGTAGGGCCACTTCCCAAACCAAAGCAATGGAAAAAGCAATTACTGAATCATCGAAACAGCGTCCATCAGCTACACCAGCTCATTCCGATTCTCCATCTGCGTCATCTAAGACTTCGAAGACACACAAATCGAAACCCTCCATACCGAAGTCCTTGATTTCGAAAACAATCTCTAAACGTCAGAGACCGACTGAAGCTGCTTCGGCTCCGGACCCTGTTCCTCCTAAACGAGCTAAACAGTCTAAGCCTACAGACATCCCACCACAACCATAACTCTGAATCAATTTCGGTCAGATCTCCCTGAGATAATGACAGACTTCTGTCTCATCAACCCTGTTCTCAGTCTCCAGAATGGGATGATAGAGTCGACCAACTAACATCCTCTCCTCCCAGTCCACAACCTTCCATTTCTTCCAGCAATCCTTCAGTTATTCCATCACCCGAGGATTCCCATCCTGAACGGCTCAACACTATTCCATATTCATGCCCTCGGATCACCCACCGATCCCTAACCAGGACCATCGACATCCACAATCTCGACAGCTCACTTCATCACATGTGGCTCAAACCCACGCTCAGCACGCGCATCGGGTTGCCATTTGTCCCGACCAGTGCTCTGCTCGACAAACGGCACCAACTAGTCAACCAGGTGTTTTACCCGGTTTGATAATACCATCTAATAATCAGCCTACTTTTCAACAACCATCGGTGTTGAAGCGGCCACATCACCGAGAGGTGACTATACCTCAACCTGCTTCCATTTGGTATATATATATAAAAAAACCTCGGACGGTCATTCAGATTTCATCCATACGTGAGGCTTTTGCAGCCCCAGCCTCCCGATACTTTCCTACTACAATAGATGAAGGAAATCACTCTTCACGCTTGGCATCACCAGCGTCAATTTTTCCCCCACTGCTGTGCCATCTCATCAGCAACCTCCGTTTCAACATCACAGAGACACAGGCTCTGATATCGATGATCCTCGATATTCATCCTGGTCCATGGACACTCGCTCCATTACATTACATCAACAGAGTTCCCCTTGTCTGGTAAATCCAAGTCATCAACCCCAGCACCCTTACGACACTGAGCTCAACACCGAGGTCCATCCCTACCAATCAAGGTCCGTCAACGCTCAACCACCATCTTTCAATGTCGAGGATCATCAACATCGACAGATGTCCATGGATATGCCGCCTCCATCTTTTCCGACTCATAACCGGCAATACTATGAAACTCAGCCACCTACCTCAGACTTCAAAACATTCTCGTCTTTCCATATATCAACGACTGGCTTCTTATAACACACTCCCGTCACAAAGCTTGACGAGACAACCATTCACCCTTGTCCTTCTTCGCGATCTCGGTCTAACTATCAACGAACAGAAATCAAAATTAAAACCTACAAGGACTATACATTACATAGGTGCGCTCATAGAGTCCACACGAACTCGTCTCAAAATGAGATCTCTCCAATCCTGGTTTCTGGCTCTATTCAATCCACTAACAGCCTCTCCCCACTCTCTCTTAAGAGTCATTCCGGAACTGGCCTCTCAACTTCAATGGTGGCATTCCCATACCAACCTTTCTACCGGGTGACCATTCCAACAACCTCGCCCACGAATACAAGTCACTATCAATGCCAGTTGCACCAGCTGGGGGGCTCATTGCAAATCCCTCACAGTCCATGCCAAATGGTCTCACAAAGAAAAACTGCTCCACATAAACTAGTTGGAGCTACTAGCCGTCATAAAGGCCTGCAAGACTTTCAGAAACCTTCCTGTAGGAAAAATGGTACAGATCGCCACCGACAACACCACGGCAATGTACTGCATCCTAAAACAAGGGAGCACCCACTCCCCAGGTCTCCTCTACCTAGCGGCCGACCTCTGGGAGTGGTGTCTATAACATCACATCTGTCTCACAGCCTTACACATCGTTGGTCATGACAATGACCTAGCAGACTCGCTCAACTGTACAGATGCCCAAGCTCATGAGTGGGAACTAGATCAATCAGTATTCCGCCAACTATGCCAGAAATGGGGCACACCGACTCTCAGTCTCTGCCTCCTGAGCGAATTGGAAATGCCAACTGTATTGCTCCTGAGCAGGAATAGGAAAACATTACCAGGGAGATGAGTTTATCGGCCGTTGGCCCAAGACTCTTGCCTACCTTTTTCCGCCGTTCCCTCTCCTCCACAAAGTTGTCATCCATCTACAACAAGACAAAACCAATGGCACCGTTATAGCCCCTTGGTGGCCGTGCTAGACTTGGTTTCCAGTTCTCCCAGTCTCTCATCAGACATCCACCATCTCCCCCACCTGCCACACCTTCTCACAGAACAACTCCCAAGTCCTACACCCAGACTTACCTGTTCTGCCCCTGGCAGTGTGGAGGATTCTCCCTTGGTAATGAACATTCTTCATCATGCCAAAAAACCACCCACAAGGAAAGCCTACCTGTACAAATGGAAGAAATTTCAATCCTTTACGAAATCTTCCTCATCATCCTCCATCAATCCATCACTTTCCACTGTTCTCCGCTTCCTTCTACATCTCAAATCCAAGGGCCTCTCCATCTCATCCTTGAGAGTCTACCTTTCTGCAATAATATCATACCAACCTCCAAATTCTCCAGCAGCAAACTTCTTCAAACATTCAACAACAAAGCGTGTTCTGAAAGGTTTCTCTCATGTCTCCCTGACACTCGACCTCCCTCTCCACAATGGTCACTAACTCTTGTTTTGAAACAGCTTACCAAAGCTCCTTTTGAGCCATTAGCTACAACTGACTTAAGACTCCTCACCTTTAAAACAGCTTTTCTCGTAGCCATCACCTCAGCACGACAAGCTAGTGAATTGGCAGCTTCATGCTATGATTACCCTCATCTACAGTTTTTCTTGATAAGGTGAAGTTATTAATGGACATTTCCTTCCTCCCCAAAATTGTCTCTCAATTTAATCTTTCCCAGCCGATTGTCCTTCCTTCATTTTTTCCGTCACCTTCTTCAAACCAAGAAAAAATACTCCATACGTTGGATGTCAGAAGAGCTCTTGCTTTTTATTTCCAACATACCCAACCTTTTAGACAGTCACCTTGTGTCTTCATATGCCATCAGCTACCTACAGAAGGCCGTCAGGTGACTTCCCAATCTATCTCCAGATGGGTCACCTCTACCATTCATTTGGCTTATCAACTTGCTCGACAACCAGCCCCTAAAGTGGTTTGCCCTCACTCCACCAGGGCAGTGGCAGCCTCTACAGCCTTTCTCAATGGCGTACCTCTTCTGGACATCTGTGCCTCTGCCACTTGGGCACAGCCGTCCACGTTTCTCCGTCATAGACTCGACGGATGTTCTGGCAAAAGTCATATGCAGCATTTGGACATGCTGTTCTAGCCTCTACCTTGGCGTGACACCCTGCCTTGGCTTGATTCACAGAAGCCATGAAGACGAACAACAGATTTTTTGTTGTTGTTTAGTCATTAAGTCATGTCCGACTCTTCGTGACCCCATGGACCAGAGCACACCAGGCCCTGCTGTCTTCCACTGCTTCCCGGAGTTTGGTCAAATTCATGTTGGTAGCTTCGGTGACACTGCCCAACCATCTCGTCCTCTGTTGTCCCCTTCTCCTCTTGCTTTCACACTTTCCCAATATCAGGGTCTTTTCCAGGGAGTCTTCTCATGAGATGGCCGACAGGTTACCCACCTGTAATTGTAGTTCTTCGAGCGGACCTCTGTGATTCACACATCCCGCCTGTGCTCCTCTCTGTCACGCAATTGTTTGCTTACTATTAAGCGGCGGTTGACACAACTGAAAAGGGACGCTTGACGCCAAGG